CAGCATCATCATCATCATCATCATCATCATCATCATCATCATCATCATCATCACCATCACCATCATCATCATCAACATCATCATCATCATCATCAGCATCATCAACAGCTGCATCAGCATCAGCATCATCATCAGCATCATCATCATCATCATCATCATTATCAACAACATCATCATCATCATCATCATCAGTATCAGCTTCATCACCAGCATCAGCATCATCATCATCATCAGCATCATCATCATCATCACCATCATGATCAGCAGCATCATCATCATCATGATCATCACCATCATCACCACCATCGTCATCATCATCATCATCAGCAGCATCATCAGCATCATCATTGTCATCATTGTCAGCATCATCATCATCATCAGCATCATCATCAGCATCCTCGTCATCACCATCACCATCACCATCAGCATCATCATCATCATCAGCAGCATCAGCATCATCACCATCATCGTCGTCATTATCATCAGCATCATCAGCATCAGCATCAGCATAAACACCGTCATCATCATCATCATCATCATCATCATCATCATCATCTCATCATCATAAGCATCAGCAGCAGCATCATCATCATCAGCATCAACATCATCAGCATCATCATCGTATTCAGCATCAGCATCAGCATCATCATCATCATCACCATCACCACAATCATCATCAGCATCATCAGCAGCAGCATCATCATCTTTATCATCATCAGCATCATCACCATCAGCAGCATCATCAGCAGCATAATCACCATCAGCATCATCATCATCAGCATCAGCATCATCATCAGCAGCATCAGCATCAGAATCATCAACATCATCATCAGCATCATCATAAGCATCAGCATCATCATCAGCCGCATCATCATCATCAGCATCACCATCATCATCAGCATCATCATCATCTTCAGCAGCATAATCATCATCAGCATCATCGGCCTCCTCGTCATCACCATCACCATCACCAGCATCATCATCATCATCAGCATCAGCATCATCACCAGCATCAGCATCAGCATCAGCATCATCAGCATCAGAATCAGCATCATAAGCATCAGCATCATCATCATCAGCATCAGCATCATCGGCATCATCATGATTAGCATCATCATCATCAGCAACATCATCATCACCAGCATCATCATCAGCATCAGCATCATCGGCATCATCATGATTAGCATCATCATCAGCAACATCATCATCACCAGCATCATCATCAGCATCAGCATCATCAGCGTCAGCAGCATCATCATTGTCATCATTTGCATCAGCATCAGCATCATCAGCATCAGCATCAGCATCAGCAGCATCAACAGCAGCATCAGCATGATCATCATCAGCATCATCATCAGCAGCATCATCATCAGATTCAGCATCAGCATCAGCATCATCATCAGCATCATCATCATCAGCGTCAGCAGCAGCATCATCATCATCATCATCATCATCATCATCAGCATCAGCAGCATCATCATCATCATCATCATCATCGTCATCGTCATCGTCCTCATCATCAGCATCATCATCATCATCATCTGCATCAGTATCATCAGCATCATCATCATCAGCATCATCATAAGCATAAGCCTAAGCATTAGCATCATCATCATCAGCATTCGCATCAGCATCATCAGCATCAGCATCATCAGCATCATAATCATCAGCATCATAATCAGCATCATCACCATCATCAGCAGTATCATCATCGTCAACATCATCATCAGCATCAGCATCAGCATCATCAGCATCACCATCATGATCATCAGCATCAGCATATTCAGCATCAGCATCATCATCAGCATCAGCAGCATCATCATAATCACCATCAGCATCATCATAACCAGCATTATCATCAGCATCATCATCATAATCATCAGCATCATCGTCATCAGCAGCATCATCCGTATTATCATTCGCTTCGTCATCATCTTCAGCAGCAGCATCATCATCAGCAGCAGCATCAGCATCAGCATCAGCATCATCATCATCAGCATGCATCATCAGCATCAGCATGCATCGTCATCATCATCACAATCATCAGCATCATTATCAGCACAAGCATCATCATCATCAACAACATCATCATCATCAGCATCATCATCATCAGCAGCATCATCAGCATCATCGTCATCGTCATCATCATCATCATCATCATCAGCAGCATCAGCATCAGCATCAGCATCAGCATCAGCAGCATAATCATCATCAGAAGCATCATCATCAGCATCTTCACCAGCATCATCATCAGCATCATCATTGTCATCATCATCAGCATCATCAGCATCATCAGCATCAGCAGCATCATCATCAGCATCATCATCACCAGCATCAGCATCATCATCAGCATCAGCATCATCAGCATCATCATCGTCAGCATCATCATCAGCATCATCAGCATCAGCATCAGCATGAGCATCATCATCATCATCAGCATCATCATCAGCAACAGCATAATCGTCATCATCATCATCAGCACCAGCATCATCATCAGCATCAGCATCAGCATCATCATCAGCATCAGCATCATCATCAGCATCATCATCAGCAGCATCATCAGCACCATCATCAGCATCATCAGCATCATCGTCATCGTCATTATCATCATCAGCATCAGCATCAGCATCAGCAGCATCATCAGCAGTATCATCAGCATCATCTTCACCAGCATCAGCCTCAGCATCATCATCAGCAGCATCAGCATCAGCATCATCATAAGCATCATCATCAGCATCATCATCGTCAGCATCAGCATCAGCATCATCAGCATCATCAGCATCATCATCATCATCGTCAGCATCGTCATTAGCATCATCAGCATCACCAGCATCAGCATCATGAGCATCAGCATCATCAGCATCACCATCAGCATCATCATCATCGTCATCACCATCATCATCATCATCATCATCATCATCATCATCATCATCACCACTCATCATCATCATCATCATCATCATCATCATCATCATCATCATCATCATCATCATCATCATCATCATCATCATCATCATCATCATCATCATCATCATCATCATCATCATCATCATTCATCAGCATCATCATCATCATCGTCATCATCAGCATCAGCAGCATCAGCAGCAGCAGCATCGTCAGCATCCTTCCCCTCCCCAATTTCTAGCGGCACTTTCTGCTGATTTCGGCGGCGGGAGAGTTCCCGCCCTTCCCCGAGGGCGCCCCGGAGGCCAGCGGGCAGTCGCTCGCAGGCACGCCCGGGCTCCACAAACGACCCGTGGCCGCAGAGCGCCCTGCCGCCCAGGAGCCAGGCGGGAGATGGCCCCGAGGCCCGGCCACGGGCCCTGGGAGGCCGAGGCTGCGGAGGCAGCTGCTGGGAGGTCTTCGCCGGAGAGACCGAGGAGACTTGAGCCCCAGCGGGGGGGCCTCTGCGCAGGATTGGGCGGCGGATGCCGCGGGATGGAGCCAGGCTGAGCCAGAAGAAAGCCGGATGCAGCTGGATTGAGATTGAGCCGGAGTGAGCCGGACGTCGGACCAGGGCAAAACCAGAACTACAGTGCGAGCGCGGCCGCGAGAAACCCCCGCAGGAAGCCCAACCCTGAAGACCCGCGCGCGAGATGCACCAGAGGGGAAACCCGGAGCACCCTGAACGCAGCAGCTCCTTCAACGGCCGCGGGAAGTCGCCGCGCAACGCGCGGAGCAAAGAGTTCCAGGATGCCCGGACGAAAAGCTCATGGTCTCTTGATGCGCGCCCCCACTGCAGCTCTCCCAGGAGTGGCATCCGAACGAGCCCACGCCGGGAGCGACCAGAATTGAGCAGGGACCGACCGTCCCGGCATTCCTATAGTCCTACCACGAAATGCTCCTAGAACCCAAACATGTTCTAAGAACGAAAACAATGTTCTTAGAACATAAGCCCGATGTGCTAAAACAGGGCAGTCCCAGCCCGAAATGATCTAAGAACAGTTCGTGGAAATCACAAGAGGTTCTTAGAACATTGTTTGGCAGGGCTATAAGCGAGCCGGGACGCTTCGCCACTGCTTGACAGGACACAGCGTCGGAGATCTGGGCAGGGGCCGACGGGCGCGGAGGCCCACGTCCCGGGCGGCTCGGCGCGCGGGACGTCCGGGGGGGATCTGCCGCAAAATCGAGCGGCCCAGGCCTCGAGCGCGCTCTTCTTGGTACGAAGCCAGGGCGGGGATCAAATCGGAGGAGGAGGAGGACGAGAATGAGGAGGAGGAGGAGGAGGAGGAGGAGGAGGTGGATGAAGTAGAGGCGGAGGAGGTGGAGGGGGAGGGGGAGGAGTAGGGGGACAGAGAGGATGAGGAGGAGGAGGAGGAGGAGGACCGGCGGGTGTGGAGGATGTCTTGGGCGCCAGGGCCTTCTCGGAGCTTCCCGGAAGGCTCTGAAGTCGTTCCGATACGCTCTGGCAAGGGTTTCTCGAAACAGCGCGTTCCACTACTAGCGCGAAGCGACTACCAGCAAATGGCCTGGATCCGTCGCGCGGGATCTACGATCCGCTGCATCGAAGCAGACGTGCGTTTTCCCTGGCGTTCGCGAGTTGGCACTCCGCGAGCAGTGGAACGCGCTCGATGATTTGAGCAGGGACCGACAGTCCTGGCATTCCTATAGTCCTACCACGAAATGTTCGTAGAACCCAAAACAAATGTTCTAAGAACAAAAACCAAAAACAATGTTATTATAACATAAACCCGATGTGTTCAAACAAGACAGTCCCAGCCAGAAATGTTCTAAGAACATTTCGTGGGAACCACAAAAGGTTCTTAGAACATTGTTTGGTGGGGCTATAGGCGAGCCAAGACGCTTCGCCACTG